TTGAGGAATTTGATTTTTTCTGGTCCAAATGGCCATAGTTGAAAATTACAGAGGGCGCCTCTTAAAAACTAACAACTATTAGTACATGTAAAAAGCTTGCCTAAAAAGAAAAGTCTTAACCTTAGCTTTTTGTGATATTCTCCCAATAATTATAATTTCAGTTCCTTTCAGGATTTGCTCCAGTCAATTTTTGACTGTAATACATTAAGTTCCTGAATTTGTCCAGAAGATTAAGCCTGTGTTAAGTTCATAAGATATATCTTCCAATCAATGGAATGGTAACAACAACCTTTTCTCTTCCATAATTGAATTTAACTTTGTGCTGAACTGTCAAACATTGACTGTGAATTCTTTGTGCTGGAATGAAAGACACTTCTGAATGACTTTCAAAATCAGTACACCATACTTCAAGGGGGTCCGGAAACCAGTTCCTTTCAGGGTGGGCCTTGAACCAATCAACCTCAGCGAGCACAAAAGTAAGCTTCTGCCTTTTGCCTTGGCCTTGCTTTACAACCACATCATTGGTAAGGAATCTGCAAACTTTTCCTGGCCTACACTCCCCGTTAAACGATTTAGCTAAAACACCATAATTCCTTGAACATCTATATATTACACCACTGATTTGAACTCTTGGTAGTCATAGCTTAAATTAGAAGGACGCAGGAAACTTCGCAAGTTGATAATTACATTTTAGGCCTAAAACTGAAGCGCCAAACTTTAACGTCAGATAAATTTCATACGACTTAACTCGATCTTTTGGAATGCTCTGCAAAATGGTATTTAAAAGTTTAAGGGTAAGTGATTTAGCCTGCCAGCATTTGTTTGACATCCATCTATTCATTGATCGCTGACAAAATGGGAGTTTATCCTTTTAAATTGGCTCTTACCCTTAAAGTGTGCCAGAAAGGGTACATTTTGGTCTTTAAAATGCTATAAATTCACGAGGAAGTTATTGATTGAACCAGTATTCGCTGGAACCGTTAAACAGGCTGCAAATGACAGATCTATAGCTTTGTTTGGGATAAAAGCAAGTCAATGATTTTTCTCTTTAAACAGAGACTATATAAATCCGAACGCCCCAGCATTAGTAAAAAAGAAGGAAGTCAACATTATTTTTTGCCATCACCACTTTTTATTTGTTCTACAGTACAAAGCGTATCGATGCTAATCTATTGAGCTGTTAAAAGCTTGTTTGACAGGACGGCATCTTACAAAGTTCTTATCACCGAACTAGGATGTATCCCATAGCTTTGATGTGTTTGTCTCCATTATCACCGCCATGCATTGCCACGTTTCCACAAGTGATTTGTTTAGGTGGTCCTATACCGAACCCGATTCTCGAGTCACAGGTGGTGCACGCGTTCTCGTTGTTACTAAGAATGCCAATTCTCGCCCTACGATAACTGTTGCACGCTGCATTGAACCCTTCCTTGTTACAGTTGCGCTGTAAGGAGGCCTGTGAACCAATGACCTTCTTCCACTTGTTACGACCCAGTGAGGTGGCTCGGTACTTCCCGTCAGCGATCAGTGAGTACAGAGAGTTGGCTGGCTTGTTGATGACAATGAACTTGGTCTGTTGGCCGATCTTCATACCGAGACAGATCTTGGAGAAGGGTGTGTTCCAGTAGGTCGGTAACTTGGTCTCTTGTAAGTCAAACCCAGTCTTGCCTCCTGGAAGGTTAAAATCCTTCTTGTCGGTCCAGTGCGGGGAATTGTTGTGGAAGGTTGACTGGATGAGAGGAAAGAAAAATAGGCAGAATGGAAACAAAATCATAGATTACTTAATTCCAAGTAACACACTATATAAACAATTGTCATCAATCCTATTCTTTCTCGTTTTCAGTCTTGGAAACTTAAGAGTTTTCATCGGCTTAGCTATTGTGGTATTCGAGCAAAATTATCATACAATCTTCTACAAATATGTTAAACGTACGCGCAAGATTTTGGGTCCTTTTTATTTTTTAGATCTCATTTGTGTTTTCTATATTTTGGGGGCGTTTTTAATAAAACAATTATTAGCTAATTACTCCACTCGCGCTTGTAGATCATTGTATGAGATCATTATAGCCAACTCGGGGGTACGCGCCTCATTGGCTATAAATCATCTGTCATATCCAACACGCACTCGTGAAATAATTGTTAAATGTACCTTGTTTCCGTCAATCTTCATGACTGGTGTCCATCCTCCTTCTCCACATCCAAAATCTCCCACGTGACAGAGAACAGAAATTGGTTTTGAGTCAAAGTGAAGAGTGACCAGCTGACTCACGTTGGATCTGTTAAATGATGAAAAAAATCTTAAAAGAGGCTACAGAAAATAAATTTAATTCTATTGAAACAACACTCCTTTTGTCTGTCTGTCTGTCTGTCTGT